ACTACAACTTTTTAGAAACTGAATCCATGTATTTATTCTCTTCATAAAAATAAAAAGCACCTGTTTACATATTATGGGATAAATAGAAAATAACTGGTATGTTTAATTTTCCCAACGGGCACCCTATTCTTCATTATCATAACAGCCAAACATTATATTTTCAAAGTACTTCCATGTGTCAGGTGAACAAAGAACAACCGCAGTGACCTACACGGTCTTATCCAACTTTATAGACAAAATAAGAAAAGGAGCTCCTTGAGGGACTGACAGAAACAAGGTCCCACACCGGATAAACCTTGGGCTGGAGTCTGGTTTCCGCAATCCAACCCTGGTGTCCCACTTTCCAACCCGCCCTGCGGTGCAGCCTCGGTTCTGTGCCTCTCGCGCTCCGACGGACAGTCCCCCGCTCGCTGCCATGGCCGTAACGGGTGAGGACGGCCTCCTGCGCCTCACGAACCTCAGGCAGTGCCTGTCTCCCTCTCTGAGGTCCTCTGACGGTCTCTTTCCCCCTGACTGCGGGTGACCAGAACAATCGGGCAAGTCTCTGAGCCACCGGCAACCGCTCCCAGCAGTGACAGCGTCTGAACAATGCCAGGCCTGTGCCCTGCACAATGCTCTAAAGATTCCGAAAAGTCAAATGTCAGGAACTGTCCAAGGACAGAAACTTATTAAAACAGACACAAAAGGAGACATATGTAAAACTTTAAACAATTAAAAAAAAAACTAAATAAAAAAAATATGTATTCAGATTTCACAGAAAAAAATGATTCTGATAAAATACTTTTGATTTTTTTTAAAAAAGAAAATAATGTATGTCCCATTCAACATGTAAAACTTATACAAAACTATTGTCTTTGAAAATGATTTATAATCTGTAGACTTAATAACTGGGAGATGCCGTGACATGTGAATCCCATTTTTTGAGGTATGGGGGTCCTTCCTTCTCCAAATAGATCTGATCTTCAAAGTTAAAAAAACACACGCTGTTCTCTGAGATTGCAACTAAATTGTGCAACTCTGCTAGTGACCCCTTTTCTTTGTATTTAGACCTGTTCTATTAGTTATTTTATACTTTAATCATATTTCTTCCCAAACACTTTCATATTTATATATCTATTGCATAATATATAGTAATTATAACCTGGCACAGATCATAAAATCACCCTGAAAATTCAAGCAACCATCTGGCGTCATACGCAGATAATACAATATTACTGAATGATTACAGGCTGTACTTTACAAACCCGTGACTATTTTTAACTACCAATATGTACTCCTTAATCGCTTCACCTTTTTCACCCAGTCCTTCCATCTGGCAACCATCAGTTTGTTCTCTGCATCTAAGAGTCTATTTTAATAAAAACAATAATTTGAAGTTGTATTTTATTAAACTCTAGCCTCCCAATGCCTAACAAAAACTCCCAGAGATGAGATTAAATTCTAAACTGACCTAATAATCTGAAGCAGGTGTCCTTTACATGGATCTTAATATGTTTTGTTTTGTTTTTCCAGAAAATGTCTGACTCTATCAGATTTAGGAGTTGGTAAAAATTAATAATTTTGGCAATTTAAAGGGATTAAATATGGAATTAGTTACAGTTATCTATGAAAATAACAACATGCATTTCACCTGGTTCTAGGCTTTTATTGGAACAAAATACAGGTAAGAGATAAGAAATAAAATATAAATTGGAATAGGGCAAAAGTGTCTTCTTTCTCCTTTTACACGATGCATATTTAAGTGGTACAGATTGAGACCTACTTTCACATTTTCTTTAAAAAGAAAATCTTCTGACTTAAAAACAAACAAAAACTTACACTTCCTTAAAGAATGTAACTCTCCCCTGGCCGGCATGGCTCAGTGGTTGAGCGTCGACCTATGAACCAGGAGGTCACAGTTTGATTCCCAGGTGGGACATATTCGGGCTTGACCCCCAGTTTGGGATGTGCCGGAGGCAGCCAATCGATGATTCTCTCTCATCATTGATGTTTCTATCTCTCTAGCCCTCTTCCTTCCTCTCTGAAATCAATAAAAATATTTTTAAAATGTAATTCCCACCTCCATCACCCTTCCTTCTCTGCTTTATTATTCCTCAGAATCTAATCACTTTTAATATTCCACAGAATTTACTCACTTGTCTACTGTCTCTCTCGTCCACTAAACCTCAGGTCCAAAGCAGCCAAGGGTGTGTTTCTGCTTTGTTCATTGCTCTACTTCTCGAACCTAGAGATTTCTTTCGTTATTGAACACTGGCTCAATACATACTCACTAAATGAATGAATGAGTAAATGAGTTAATGGTCTGACTTGAAAGGATCCAGAAACTCCCTAAAGTTATAGTAAAAGGCAATGTGATTATGTGGATGTGTATATTTCTCTAAGAAGAGGGTCCACAGCTTTCATCAGATTTTCAAAAGGGGCCAGTATCTGGATAGGTGTCCCAGCCAGAAGCACTCAGAGTATATATATATATATACGGCCGCCTGCTTGGCTAAGTAGATACAATACTTCTAAATGACAGTGGTGCTTTCTGGTGGAGCTGATGTGCTTGAAAGCAAGAGTGAGACTCGAAGAAACCCTGAGGGCCATGTGGAGATTGACAAGGAGACTGATTAGGTATGTTAGGAAACTAAATTTGTCTTCTATGGGGATCAATTATATGGGACACTGTTCTCATGGAATATAGCCAGGATATTCCGGTACCAATCAGAGAATGTGAGCTCTTCTTGGCTTACACTCTCGTAACGTAATACGGCGGGGTTAATGAGAGAAGAGCTATTCCCTCTCATTACTGGAAGGAGGGAGCCTGGACACCGGAGCTAGTGAGGAGAGAAAATGATGAATGACCTGAGAAGACGAGGAGTGGCCATTCCTCCCTCCTCCGGTCTCCTTTCCGGGGGAAAGTTAAGGAATTGGGCATTTTCTCACATATTCTTACATAAAAGGGAGAAGAAAGCTTCCCTTGAATTATGGGCAAAGGTCTAATAGCCCTGTGCAAAGCCATCGCTGGTAAAAGGCCACAGCTGTGTCAGCACCGTGTCATCACAGGCCAGTGTTGTGGAGGGAGGGGCCAAGAGGCAGCCGTCTGAGACCACAAGAAAAGCCCCGGACAGAACACTGCATTGGCGTGCCTGGAGCAGCAGGGAGAATCCAAGGGGTGATTTCAGACATTTCCTTCTCCCCAGAACCATTGAGTGAACTGACCACGAAGCTATAAAGTAATTTAATTTGCTTCAGAGAACACATGAGCAGTATTGTTGTTTTTTATATCTTTCAACTGCTCTCCAAAAATCAAGTTGTTTGGGAAAACTTACACACACACACACACACACACACACACACACGCCACAAAAAGGCTAAGGACCACTGGCCTGGCGAGTTCTCAGATTCGATACAGTTTCTAGAGTCTCCAAATTATTAGACTGCAGGGATGTCCATCTGTCTTCAAGGGGCCACTCCCTTTCTCTCTGAAATGAAATCAAACTAAATACATCATTGCTATTTCTGTATGTTTGCAAGTTATGGCTCAAAAACAGGAAAAATTTACCCCAATACGCAGCCTACCCAACTTGACCTCCTGCCCTAACCCTTCACAGCTCAACTCCATGCTTCTTATTTCTCTTCATATGGGGTTCTCCAGAAAAAGATCTTTCTTGTTCCTCCCATCCTCAAAGTTGAAACACAGAAGAAGGTTTTATATATTAATGTCCTAATTCATTCTTAAAAAGTGAATATCTTAACGTAAGATATTCACGTTAATCAATTCTGTCTACTAGGATTAATACTGTGAACCTTAGCATCAAGATGACAAGGTCAGTTTTTTTACCCCATATCCTTTAAAGTAGGGGTGTCGAACTCCATCAGAGAAGGGGCCAAAATCTAAAATCCAGCCTAAATCGCAGGCCGAATGGTTTACTGAACAGTCATAAACTGTCATTGTGATGGAAACGCAGCGGAGTGCAGTGATGACAGCACGGTGCAGGCCACATTGCAAGGCCTGGCGGGATGGATTTGGCCTGCGGGCCTTGTGTTTGACACATGTGCTTTAAAGAAAAGTAGATACACATAGCCAGATAAAATACTTACCACCACCACACCCTCCTCCTCCCACTGCCCCTCCTGCCTCTCCCCACTACAGATCAGGCCTTCAGGCTCCCTCCTCTTTCAGCCCATCCCCCACTCCTAACATCATGTTCTTTATCTCTCAACTCCTCATAAAGCCTGAGGCTGATGGAAGAGTGGCCAGGGGAGATAGGACTTAGGAGAGGGAAAGGAATCTAAGAAAGGAGAAAAGAGAAAAAGGTGCTACTGTAATTGGGAGCCACCCACCCCTGCCAAAGTATATAATCTGACTCAGCTAATAAACCTTATGCCAAATGTTAGTAAGTTTTAAGTCTAAGGAACACCAGCATATGTAAAGGCCTTTCATTTATTGCCAATTTTTAAAGATCTGAAAAGGTTATCTGAAGATTTCTTTGATAGCTTCAGCAGCTTTACCCTAGGATGAGAAGCCAAGAGTTCTCGGGACACCCCCTAACCCTCCTAAGACACATTCCCAACACACGTCAGGTTATTCCTTTCTGGAGCACATCATGCACTTCCTCACCTCTGTGACCTTCTCCATGCCACCTAGAAAACCACTGCCAAAATACTTTTTCTCTCTCTAGGCCCATGTCAAGTATCACTTCCTCCGTGAAGCCATTTCCCACCCCACCAGTGAGAATTGTTTCCTTTCTTGTACCCCTAAAGTACTCTGCTCCCCTACCTCTAGTTGTCACTAGATCAGTGCTAAGCTAGTTATTCATATAGGTACTCAACTGTTAAACCATGAATTGGAGGGCACCTTTTTTACTTTAACTCCCCAGAACCCAGCCCTCTGCTCTATCACATAATAGGGGCTCAACTATGTGTCATAATACAATTCACAGCAAAGCTACGTTATGTATACGTGGGCGTGTATAGGGAGTAAATACACGGCACTCAAAAGGGCCGAACACTACCTCTTTGGAATTCGGAATGCTGCTGTGATCCTTTTCCATTATCAGCCATCTGAGAATACTTGGGATAGAGATACTTTTCCATGTTGGCCAAGGATTAACAAATCTCCCATCCTTCCCTCTCTCTGATTTCGTTACATCTTCCTCTAGTCTGTAATCCAGTTTGAAACTCTTCCTGGAAAACCTAGAAGAAGTACTTCCTCCAGAATCCCGTGCAGAATTTTGGCGTTTTCTTACTACTTCTTTAGGATATTGGCTGCCTGTCATCAGGGACTGGCTGCTTTCATTTTCATCCATGTCCTTTGGAGAACTAAAAAAGAGGAGGAAAAATACTGAGTTTAATATAAAGGCATTAAAACATATTACACAGTGTATTTCTTAGCCAATAAAAATTTCCTCGAACTTATAAAAATATCATGTCCTATTAACTCAAAATTTTCTTCTTGTAAAATGCAAGTTTAGAATCCAGTATTACTGCATACTAAATAGAAAAGATGTTTACCAATTTCTGCCAAACCTTTTAAAAATCCTTATCAGCAGTAATAAAAAACAATCTAGTCCACCAGCCAGCATTCAAACATGAAATTTTCCATTTCGATGACCTTGTAGAATAAATTAATGAATCTGTAATATTTTCATACCTGAACTTTAAAAATATTATTGTTAAGAACTTAGAAAGGAATACCTTAGTTCCTTGAGGATACCTCAGTAATTCAAGTGATTTACATAAGACCCACTAGGCCTAGACGTTTTTACTTTGAAGATCATCTGTTTCCATGCCCCTTGAAAAGTACAATGAGTCCAAAACACAAGAAAGGAGAAAAACAACATATTCAGAGGCATCTTATTAAAGTAGTTAAGAAGTGAACAGTACAAATTTGAATTAACTCAGATTTAGAACTGCAAAGTCTGTGTGTAGTCTAGGTACATTTCCTAATCTCTCGTGTATAAAATGGAGATAATAACACTTCCTACCTGAGGGGTGTATTGAGAGGATTTGAAAAGCTAATGCACGTAAAATACTTAGAAATGTGTATACAGTACAACAAATGTAACACACATGTATGCACATGATAACAACTGCTGTTGCTGACCTTGTTATTACTGCTGTCACCACCACATCTTAATGCAAGGCACTGAAATCCTTGATTTTGAATTATATACTCCAAACACAAAATGATAAATAATGTACTAAGAATATGCATTCATCCGCCATGAATTACATTTCTTTCCTATTTCCCGAACAAATATTTGCTTTCTTTCTAGTTTAAATACAATGCATACACTTAATACACTATAATCCTAAGGAAATAAGCACAATAACAGAAAGCCAAATGTTATTTTTATGACTTCAGTAGTGTTCAAATAGAAATATTATCCAGGAGAGAAAGGAAAAGAACAAACCCTAGGATGAAAACATTCACTGCACCAAACTTTTTTTTTTCTTTCCTCAAACTGTTAGGAGTAAATAGTCTACAGTCTAGAAAATAATCAGTGTTCAGGAAAGAAACCAGAGCTGACAAAAACACTCGCTGCTGCTCAGCTTTCTCTGATTGTGGGAGAACCTGAAGCTAAGAGAGTCTAATAAGCTTTATATCTTGTGCAAATAACTCAACCTTTCTAGCCCTCAATTTTCTCACCTGTTAAATCCCTACTTACCTCATAGGGGTTTTAGATGATTATATGACCAGATGTTAATTTTTTTTCCCCCTTTCCCAGCTAACTGGCCACTCATTTAAATTCTTTAAATTCTATTAGGAAACAAAGGGTCTGGCTGAGTTATGCCCATTCTTCTCACATAATTTCTCCACCCGGATTATTAAGTTCAGGCCAGGCCTTTCCAAAAGGCAGAAACAAAGACCACCATCCATTTGAACCCCACTTCATTAACAGAGGTAACACACAAGTTTAGAGACTGAGTAATTAATTCCCAAGGTAATATGTCTAAAAGATGGGAGAGCAGTCTGTGAGATGTGTGCATAAGTCTGCATATATACACAGGTATTCATATACAGGATGCCTCCAAAAAACGTCCACACACTTTAACAACTGACAGCTCAACTTTCAAAATGAAATGTATTTTAATAAACATGAAAGGCTTGTGAGAGTCGAGATGGTAAAGGTGTGAAGGATCATTAGACAGTGGGACTAGATTGGGGGCCTGGACTGAGACATTAAGAGGCTTGGCTACACTGTAGGCAATGGAGAAAAACTGAAGGCATGTGTTTAGAGGGAAGGGATGGAGGGAGGGGAAGAGAGAGAGAGAGAAAGAGAGAGAAAGAGAGGGAGGGGGCGAGAAAGAGAAACATTGATAGGTCGCCTCCCATACACACTGACCAGGGATTGAATCTGCAACTTTTGGATGCTGCTGCAGTGCACTGAGCCACACCAGCCTGGGAACTCTTATTTTTACTGTATGCAGTAGGCAGAGCAAGGACCATGAGCTAGATACTAACGGTCACCAGGGAAGAAAGCCCTGAGTGACTAGCAGCAGACAACTGTAGTGTGAGACCTCATCCCCAGGGTGACCTTTCCTCCCCTAGCACAGGCATCACTAGTCATGTGGTTTGGAGCCCCTGACTTCATATCGCTGCTCATTTGCTAGTCATTTGGTTTCAACCCATGGACTTTTCCTCCCTAGAGATAACATCTAGGCCTCAGTGTCAGCTCCAGGCCCAGAAAAGCAGCAAAAACAGACAGGTGACGCCATGGCTGACCTCCGGACCAGGTGCACTGACTACTGACCCCTGCCCTGGCACCCATCAGTGGCGATCAGGACCCTGGAAGGACACACCTGGAAAGCTGCTGAATACTCTATTGCAATCTTCTCCCTGGGACCACCCCTAAGAACCCACCCATAAACCCTAAGGTGTGGACCCAGCGTGCTCCCTCCTGGGAGCACACCCACGCCTTCCCTTCTCCTCCCTCTCCCCATCTTCCAAAGCGCCTCGCCGTTGTCTTCCTCACTTCTAAGTTCCCAGGGCCCTTCCTTTGCCTCTATAACGTTGTTTCCTAAGCCCATTTCTTCTACAAATTACTACTTCTACCTCTGTGATTTTCTAAATGAGTATTCTCCTAAGTTTTGAGTCTTGACTCTAAATTCTTTTTTATCCAGAACTCAAGTACCAACGTTGCTGAACACAGTTCCGGTCAGACCCCACCAGTCAGTCACTTGGTGCTGTTCTCGCCATTGCCAATATATCCATAAGATAAATGTTAGCTGAACGTACTGAGGTAATTACTTCACAATACAGGTAAATCAAACCGTCATGCTGTCCATCTTAAACTTATGCAGTGATGTTCATTATTTCTCCATAAAACTAGTGGGAGGGAGAATGCCAAGATGTAGTAAATCATAAAAGCACATACATAAAAAATGGATATAATTAAAATCTCAATACCAAGAAAAGAAGCACAAAGAATTTAAAACATTTGAAAATAAGTACTTCTCAACTTGACACCCCTGTCATCCTTTTTAAGTCTTTGTCTCTTGTCTGTTGCCCATTCCTGGATTACTGGGCAAAATGTACATAATCTTTAGCCCAGTATGTGGCGCACACACAGCCTCAATGACTGCAAGCCACTGTTTTATTATGTTCTAAACACTGTTTAGTAAGGTTAGTGGGATGCATATTCCATTTTGAAATTTCTACGTTAAGAGCAATAGCATGAACAAACTGAAATGGAATAAACTCTGGAATGTGTTCTTATATTTGAGTAAGAGAAGCCCTGGTCTTACTAGAACTCACACAACTCTTACAACAAAAAGGAAACCACAATTCCCCACAGGAACCTATACAACCCCACAGGTCCTTGCAGCCTCACCAATTCCCTTGGATTCACCAGGAGGTCTTCATAAAACCTGGGCTACCTTAAAACGTGCTCAGACACATTTCCCTACAGTTGGGCAAAATCATCTAACACAAAGCCTATTTTATAATAAAGTGTTGAATACCTTACGTAATTTATTGGATACTCTACTGAAAGTGAAAAACAGAATGGTTGGTTGAGTACTCACCATTAATGTACACAGCTGAAAGCACACTGGCCCTAAAGAATGTCTGAGGCACTGAACTAAACAAACAACAATGCTGACAACACAGTTCACTACAGAGTCTCAGTTGTTTACCCTCATGATTGGGTGGCTGGTTGGGAGATACGTTTGCTGCCCAGCATCAAAAAAGAGCATCCTACCGCATATTGCTAGTCTGAGAAAAGTTCAAAATTCGAAGTACAGTTTCTACTGAATGTGTATTGCTTTTGCACCAATGTAAAGTTAAAAAAAAATCATAAGCTCAATGAACCATTATAAATTGGGGACTGTGGAGTTTTTTAAACTACATCTGAGGATATAAATCAAAATGTCAGGTGGGAGCTCCCAAGTAGTTTTTAAAAGTTCTGTGGGTGATTCTGATTATCTAGGCAAGGTTAAGAACTATTACTAGTTATTGGCACGAAGGTAGGACAGGTATTTAGGAAGGACCAATGGGACTTCCTGGTAACCCCAAATGTATGCCAGCCTGGTACCTGCCAATCATAAAACCTATTCTTCCTTCCTGTCCCATGCTACAAGTTACAGAGGCAGCATAACCCAGACGGTTTCACAGATCTGGGATTGGGAAGATGACACTGTGAAGGACAAAGTTTGATAAGTCACAGACTTGTACACAGTCCGGCTGAGTCACAAATTCAACTCTGTGTGCGCAGGAAGCCAAACCAAAAAAAAGGAAACACAATCAGTGATGGTTCACATTGCCTATACTAACCCATAGCAGCCTGTACATGAGTACTCAATAAATATTCATTGGGTGAATAAATAACAAATAGGAGCCATGGAAACTCTTCATTACTTTCTATTGGGATGAAGCAACTGTTTTTGAAAAGCTCTCTTGGGAACTGAATTATAACAGAAGCAAAAGTAACCAAAGGGCAGTGAGATAAAACTCAGCAAAGGACTGACAATCCTCGGAGGAAAAGGGTGTGAGGGGGTGTGGGGAGAGACTGGACAAAAATCGTACACCTATAGATGAGGACAGTGGGGTGGGGGGATGGGAGGTAAGGGCAGAGGGTGAGTTGGAAATTGGGTGGAGGGGATCTACTGGGGGGGGGGGAGGAACAACTGTAATAATTTGAACAATAAAGATTTATGTTCTAAAACATAAAAAGAGAAAAATCTTGAGAAATACTTTAGTTGAACTCTATGCTGGTAGAGTGGTGACACTGTTGTAAAGACTAGAAGATCCTACCATAAAATCTAGTTTCCCTTTTCTCCTTAGTAACAACTGTTTTACTTAGGGTGGCTATGCACCT